AGAGAGAGAGAGAGAGAGAGAGAGAGAGAGGCTGCGCCCTGCCGCTGCCCGCACCGCGTAAGTATCTTCCCCCGTCGCTGTCCCCTCCCCTTTTCCAGAACCGCTCGCCCCGGCTGGTTCTTGAATGGGAAGGAGAGAGCGCGGAGCCTCCCGTTACTCACGCCCGCGTAAACACTCCTTTGCCGAGGGGGAAACGCTGTTGCTTGCGGGCACCGTACTCCAACAGCCCCCCAAGAACAGTTTCCTAAGCAGCAGCCCCGTGGAACTCCGCGCCCCGCGCCTCCCGGTTGGGAACAGTAAGTGAGCTGCGTGGCTTTTATTTCTCTCGCGCGCCTGCCGGCGGCCGGGGTGGCGGTGGCGGTGGGGGAGGCCAGCGCGGCTGGACTTGTCGCTGATCTTGTCACCTTTTGTGTTCTGTGTCTGGGGTGCGCGGAGGCTCTTTCATTTATTTATTTATTTTTCTTGCACTCTTTTCAGGAAAGGGGGCCGCCAGAGGGACGAGCCCCTTTTTGTGTTCTCCAAGATTTTTTCTTCTTCTATCTTCCCGGCTTCTTCCTTCCCCTCTCTACCGAGTTGGAACTCCCAGGCCTGCCCTGGAGTCCTTTCCCTTTGTCTTGTTTATTCTAGCTTGCCTTTCTTCCCGGCTTTTCCTATTTGCTTGGTGTTTGCACACCTTTCACTTCTCCTTTTTTTTAACCCCGGGCAGAGGGCTGGCGGCGGGGAGGAGGGCGGGGAGGAGGGGGCGCCGGCGACTTTCCTCTCCCCCTGTGCTCGGAGCTGGGAGCTCACGCCCGGCCCCGCAGCCGAGGAAGGACGAGTGGGGGGACCGTCCGGAGGAGCCAGCGCGGCGCCCCTCCGCTGGATCTGCGCGCCGGCTCTGGAAAGCACTGATTAGGGAGAGTTGGCCCGCGAGCCTCGGGGGTCGCCCGTGGGACGATCGCGCCGCCGCGCCGCCAAGGGCCGGCCCCGGGTCGGCTGCGCGCGGGCCGCCCGTGGGCGAGAAGAAGCTCCCAGCCATTGCTGGCACGCTGGGTGGTGGGCAGCTGCGCTCCGGCCTCGGTGAGGGCGGCTACACTCTGTTGTCCCAGTTCCTAGCACTGAGGAGGGAGAAGAAGAGCCGGAGAGTGGAGAGGTGAGAGTGCTCGTCGCCGAGGAGGACGGCGAGGAAGGCGGGAGGGAGGAAGGGGGAGAGCTGCTATCTCGCCTGAGCAGACAAGGAGAAGGGACGGGGGAGGAGGGCGGGAGACCTCACCCAAAGTCCAGCCGGGCAAGTTGTCGCCGCCTGCGCCGTGCCAGCCGCACTTAGTCCTGCTAAACTGATCGCCTGTGCGGAGAGCGAGGGGCTCCGGGGGAGCCCAGGCTACCCTCAGCCTCCCGACCCTGCCCGGCTTGTTGGGAAGTTGAGCCCTCCGGGCAGGCTCGGGGCAGAAGCAGGAGGAGGGGCTGGAAGACAGTCTTAAGTAGCCCAAGGAGGCTGGCGGCTGAGCGAAGCCGCCTTCTTGGCAGCCCGGAGTCCTTCTCCGCCTCGGGGAAGGCTGGAAACTCACCTGCTTGCTTATATTTTTCTGAGAAGATCTGTGTTGTCTCCTTAAGCTTATGAAAACAGAGCAAGCCCAGAGTGCCCTCCTTTCAAAGACAAGGCTGGAGTCTCTTGCCTTGTTCTCTTTCCTCCCTAGCCCCCCCCCCTTTCACCACCCCTAGTGTCCCTCTGTTAAAAAAAAAAAAAAATCATTTCCTCCCCTAAACCAGTCAGGCAAATGTCTGTTAGCAGAATGCGCATGGGCAGGGCTGGACAGGTGTGTTGTGTCAAGAAAGACAGGTGCAAGTTTCCTAGGGTCTGTGTTTCTGTGTGGCTCCAGAGCACAGGGCTCCAGGGCTCAGGAGCTTCGTGAATTTATGGTTAACGGGGTTGCCATGCAAATGGCAGTCCCGCTGTTGTGTTCTGAGCCCCTGCCATGAGGGTTTGGGGGGGGGGGTATGTGTTTGTTTGTCTTAAGGATGTTGGCAGGTGACTGCTGAGGTCGTAGCTCAGGCTTCTGTCTGCCAGCCTGCCAAAAGCACCCAGTCCAGGGCAGCAGGTGGAGGGAGTGAACTTTCTCTTTGCTTCTCTCCAGCTTATGCCTCTCTGGCAGGTCAGTGCTTAGCAGAGAGAGAGAGAGAGAGAGAGAGAGAGAGAGAGAGATTGTGTGTGTGTGTGTGTGTGTGTGTGTGTGTGTGTGTTGGACAGCAATGGATGATTTGTAACCGCCCAAAATACTGAAGTCTGTTCACAACTGTGACTGCTGTTACAGCTTGTCTTTGTAGTGAGCTCTCTCCCTGCCCAGAAAGAATAGGTATGCGCCTAAACTCCTTCAAGCCCTGGCTTAGATCCTCTCCTAAAGTGAACTGTGCCTGCCATTGTGGTAGACATGGACCAGGTGTCCTAGATAGGACTTTGATGGAGAGGGAGAAGCTGAGCCTGTGAGCGGGAGCTGGGCTCTTGCTATCTGATGGAAGATTCATCTGGGCAGCCAGCTCTGTGAAGAGTTTCTTGCAAGAACTTCTGAGTGTTTTCAGAAGGAAACAGGCTGCTTACAGAGAGAGAGAAGAAAGTCTGCTGTGTGCAGGGGAGATGTTGGGAGTTCCTTGTAAGTCTGTGTCTGGGTCCTTAACTTTCTGAGAGGGTTGCTTTAAACACTTTGCTTCTTAAAATTGAGTTGTGTGGGAGTAGGTCAGATGATACACATCATTGTTGGTTAGTTTGGAGGTTATTTATCTCTGTTGCCATGAAAATCAAAGGTACATGTCACTTAGTCTTTTTAACATAAACATTAGTCATCCCTACCCCTCTTCTATCACTTTTTTGTATGTTTTTGAAGATTTTTCATAATTAAAATGTCATCCATGACTATGTTCGTATGCCTTATTTTTAATAGGCTTTAGCCATGCCTGGCATTTATTGGTATTTTATGTGCCTGTTGTGCAGAGTTCTGTTCATTTTAACCACCACTTTGTGGGGAGAAGGTCGTGTGTATGCAACGTGCATCTTTGTTCTCTGTGTGCTCACTTGCTAGCCTGATTCCTCTGCGAGCTGTGCCACCTCCTCGCCTAAGCTAATGCGCTCTGTGAGTTGCCAGGCCTCCTGTTATTTATTCAACTCTTAAAGTCCCTTTTCACAGATTTTCCTGCACCATTTCAAGTCTGGTTCCTTTCAAGTATGGTTTCAACTATAGGCTGTCAATCTATCAATAGAATTTTTAAAGAAATTATAAAGTGTTATGGATGATATAAAATGAAAACAGATTATTCTTGATGATGTGCTGTGGGTTTCAAACTCAGTATTTATGTAAATTGGAAGGATCAAAATGAAAATAAATTTCTCCAATGTAATTGCCTAGTGTATTTCAAGCTTCAAAGATAATTTTGAGTATTTTGGGTTTTCTGCAAAAAGAAAAAAGTGTGAGTGCAATTTTAAAGATTATTTCTCACACTCTTTTATTTGCCTAATTTGGTGAATTGCAACTTTTAAATAAGTGGAAATCAATATCTTGGCAGGTCTCAGAAAATGTTCTGTGTTCATTTTTCAAGTGAAAAATGAATGGAATTTTAGATAGGATGGAAGAGGCAAGTAAAATCATTCTAGTTTGAAACCTCTTATTGTAAAAGGAAATTTAAAATTTTTTTGTAGATATTATCACAAGTCTTTAAAATATTAACTTGTACCAAAAAGGTTCTTCAAAAATGTCAAAGGTTTTTTTTTTTTTTTTTTTCACCTTGTAGCATGCAGAAATATCTCTAAAGGAAAAGTTGCTTATTAGCAGAAATGCAGGGAGGTGACAGCTAGGGACTCTGTGTGTGTGTGTGTGTGTGTGTGTGTGTGTGTGTGTGTGTGTGCAAGCTTCTAATTTTTCCCCTGTTGAATCCAGGCTGATTTTCAGAATGCCTTAAGATATTGTTAATGATACTCTACTTGAAGCAATACGACCGGCTTAGCTCATCAGAGACCCTTTAAAGATGACTTTGTAAAAGAAATACAACCCCAGTCATCTCGTCAAATAATTTTATCAACATAGACAGATAGGAGTAACTCGGGCAGGAAGGCATGCTAGCCTTACACTCCCCATGCCTCATAAAAGATCTGTCTGAACTATCTGGATAATTACCATAATGAAACACTTCTTTGTCTAGAATCTGGACTCCAGATAGATGTAATAAAAGCTGCACCCCCTCCCCAAAATAACTTCTTTATTAAAGTCGTGCCCTGAGCTACTTCTCTTCACATTGCTATGTTTCTTTGAAATTCCTTACTGAAAACTGTTTTTACACCACGAAGCCAGCAGTGCCCTCTGCGTGGCTCCTCCCTGGGAAATAGAACGCAGACATGGTGAGGTTCAAGGAGGATCTTTTGGAGCAGCTCTGTCTGACTTGGTGTTGCTTTCTCACTATTTCTTCTGGGCGGCATCTGCTGTGTTATGCTGTCTATTGTATAGGTGGTGTGTGTGTCTGTGTGTGTGTGTGTGTGTGTGTGTGTGTGTGTGTGTGTAGGCTGCATACAATCGATTCAACACAGGTTTAATAATTTAACATTTTGACATACCTTTCCACCTAAACTCAGAAGGGCTTTATAAAGCATGTGCTTTAGGGCAGTAATCATTTGGGGCCTCAGAGTCTGTCATCACTATTTTCTCATCTTCTTTATACTGTTTCTCAGCAAGACTGGTCCAAAAGCTTTATATTGCCTGCTTAAACCCCAAGTCCATATTAAAGTAGAAACACTGTAAGAATCTATGGTAACTGGAGCTGACAAACCACAGCTTAGTTCACACGCTAAGAGAGGCTGACTTGTTCTTCACCTCCGTGGGCTGGCACCGTGGTGACTAAGTCCTTATGTAGCATCCTGGAAACTATGGATTGAAGGTTTGGGGAACCCTGGAAAATGTTCTTGACTGTTTTCATTTTACCATGGCCACTTGATACCGCACTAGGATGTAGAAAACACATTTTTATACATTCCGTTTAATGAAATATGATACTAGATGTGTACTGCGTCAGCCAATTATTATTTAATTATGCCTTTAATGTCCCTGGGTTATGGCCCCAAAGTGTATGGTCACCCTCCTTCATTTCTAAGTTTAAATCTTTTAGCTAAAGGAAGAAATAAATTAATGTGTACCTGTGTTGCTAGCTAAAATATTTTTTTCTTATTTATTTTGTCCTGTTGTTCATATCTCATCTGGACATTTTACAGAGAGACCTAACACATTTGTGTTCTCCTTGACAAAAGTAGAAACAAGTCACCATTTACTTTTTAAATGACACCTGATTCAGATTTTTTTTTTTTAAATCAGTTTAGCTTGGTAAAGTTGGAGGGCGTATTGGGTCTCAGTGGACCCAGTGTGTATGTTTAATTAATATTTATTCTCCAGTGAAGATGAAGAGTGGTGTCATCCTACCTTAGGAGAGCCCAGCCTCCTCTTGGCTGTGGTTGAGGCAGGGATGCAGCTGTTGGTACCTAGGCAGTGTGAGAGGGAGCGCAGTTGACACAGAGGTGAATGGCAGCTAGAGGAGGAAGGTGCGTGGGATGACCTTGTGCTCATCCACACACTGGCGCATCCTCTGGGAGCCTCTGCTGCAGAAGTGCCCTCCCGGGTCCAAGGTGGGCAGGAGGGAAAGACAGTCTGTGTGGCGAGGTGAACAGGGGAAGAGAAGACACAGCAAGGGGTTTCTTCCAGTCTTCCTTGGAGGTCTGTGTGCTTTGCAGGTGATACTGAAGGGACAAAAAGATTTTCAGACACATACAAATGACGTAAAAATGTTAGAACGATGCCAAGTTGCCCTGGTTTGGAAAGCTGATCTATGCACACACAAAAAATCTCCCTCATAACCACCCATACCGAAGTGTTTCTGTGACTCGGAAACTGCCCCCTTTCTCCTGTTCTTGCCCTGGCCTGACATGCTGTGCCTGCATTACCTGTCAGACTCCATGTGCTGCCAGTAAAATATGTGCTACTGTATTTTGTCCTCCCCAAACCAATTGTATTATTAGTGGGTGAGGATTCTCAGTTGTTCTGAACTTAATCTTAAACTCTGCAGTAAAGTCACTGAGATTCCTAATCTGACCCATGTTCAAGCTATTTTTGTTTTGAAGTGTTTACCCTCAGACATACAAAGATCTCTGGAAAGAAATATCATCTTGCCTTCAGGACATCCTGAAACAGGCTCTTTTAAAAGCATTTTGTCTTCAGAGAAAAACACCAAGAGCAAACACAGCATGGTGAAATATTAATCATGAACAACACCCCCAAAAAAACCCACCAAAAAATAAAAACAAAACCTACCAACATATTGCTGCCATATAAGCACAGAGCATTTTCTTGATTTTTACAGGTTATTTCATGCTGAAATTATGCCTATTTGCATGGGTAGTCATTCTTTAGAACTATCCACAGATGCACTCCTAGGGAGTACGTAGATGTTTTTACAGGTGAACCGAAAGAGATGGGAGAGATTCCAAGCACTCCACACGCTGCCTTTGGCAATGGACCCTGTTATTGTGAAGATGTGCTCTGTTAAGCAAACGCGAAGTTCAATATCAGATAAACCCGGCATGAAAGCAGTATTTTCATTTTCTTCATAAAACGTTAATTGTAAACAAAAAGATGTGCTGTCTTTTGCGTGCATACAAAATTTGGGGTTAGCATTTCTAGTTAGTAAGTAACACAATGTATCAAGGGCCTTTGATAAGATGTAGGCACATAATGTATCATGGACCTTTGATAAAATGTAGGGAAGAATGTTTCTTTTTTATATCTTGTCCTCCAAAACAATACTAGTTTGCATACAACGGAGCCACCTCCCTTTCTCACATATTTGATTGATATTTTCTTTATATCTTTCTCCAGTTGCTTCTTCTGTTTGGCTTCCAACCCCCCTTTACTTGGCATAGGCAATAAGATCCACAAATGGTGTGTGTTAAAGAGTTTCTTAGCCATTTGAAGTACTGTTTTGGCAAATGCCACCAGAACAAAACTAGTATTAAAGATATGTGTGTTCTCGCCTTGTCCAATAATACACTGTTGCATATACTGGCCCCTTGCAATAGACAATCTACCTTTCTAATAATTGAAGCCACCAAAAAGATAATGTGCCCATTTCTAAGCATCTCCTTGTTCTGTGTGGACACAGCCACAGATACCATCTTCAGCTGTGAATTCACTGATCAAGCCCCTGTTAACTAAGCAGCATTGAACAATGGACACCTGTGCCTTTATCTCAGCGCTTAACAGCCATCCTACCTTGGAAGATGTTGCCTGCGACATTCTTCCCAGTTTACATGTGACAAAGCTGCTTTTAAATTCAGCAATAAGAGTGTTCTAAATATGTGCAGCTTTCAGTGTCCCTCCTTCAGCAGCGTAAAGGCCACAGTGGCTACAGATCAGCTTCGCACCCGAATTTCCCACAGCCTCAAATTTTCACCCTGTTTCTTAAGCGAACCCACTCCCTCTTCTTTTATAATAAGTCTCAATGCCCCCAAATTTAATCAATTGCTCGTCAGAGGCTATGTTCTTATAATCTGCCATTTCTTCCAAAGATAAACAGTATCATTTTAGGCATTTGTGAAAGAGAATCATATTACTGGTGCTTAAGCAGTTTTTGCTTTTTTTTTTTTTTTTAATCTTAATCCATCTTAAACCAGTGGAGCAGAAATATTTAAAAATGTTTCATTTCAAGCAGAGTTCATGATAAATTGCAATAATTGTGATGTGCCATAAATCCCAGAGCCTATGCATTTTGCATTTGATTCAGGATTGAGGTCAGGAAATTTGGAGAAATTTAAAGAAAATGATTCATCAGTCCTTTTGTTCTGTTGGCCAGGGTCCCGGGATTCTTGAGCTGTGCCCAGCTGACCAGCTTTTGAAGATGGCACAATAACTGTCCAGTGATGCCTGACCATGACAGCACAGCCCTCTTAAGCCGGCAAACCAAGAGGAGAAGGGTTGACATTGGAGTAAAAAGGACGGTAGGGACAGCATCTGCATTCTTTGCTAAGGCAAGGGCAACGTTTTTCAGTGCCATGAATCCCCAAGGTTCAGAGCAGGATGTGGAGTATTCTGTGGTACAACACGCAGATGGGGAAAAGTCGAACGTACTCCGAAAGCTGCTGAAGAGGGCGAACTCGTATGAAGATGCCATGATGCCTTTTCCAGGAGCAACTATAATTTCCCAGCTGTTGAAAAATAACATGAACAAAAACGGTGGCACCGAGCCCAGTTTCCAAGCCAGCGGTCTCTCTAGCACAGGCTCCGAAGTACATCAGGAGGATATATGCAGCAACTCTTCAAGAGATAGTCCCCCCGGGTGCCTTTCCCCTTTTGGCAGGCCTACCATGAGCCAGTTTGATGTGGACCGCTTATGTGATGAGCACCTGAGAGCGAAGCGCGCCCGGGTTGAGAATATCATTCGGGGGATGAGCCATTCCCCCAGTGTGGCATTGAGGGGCAATGAAAACGAAAGAGAGATGGCCCCGCAGTCTGTGAGTCCCCGAGAAAGTTACCGAGAAAACAAACGCAAGCAGAAGCTGCCCCAGCAGCAGCAGCAGAGTTTCCAGCAGCTGGTTTCAGCCCGAAAAGAACAGAAGCGAGAGGAGCGCCGACAGCTGAAACAGCAGCTGGAGGACATGCAGAAGCAGCTGCGCCAGCTGCAGGAGAAGTTCTACCAGGTCTACGACAGCACCGACTCGGAGAATGATGAAGATGGCGACCTGTCTGAAGACAGCATGCGCTCGGAGATCCTGGAAGCGCGGGCCCAGGACTCGGTGGGGCGCTCAGACAACGAGCTGTGTGAGCTGGACCCAGGGCAGTTCATCGACAGGGCTCGGGCCCTGATCAGGGAGCAGGAGATGGCTGAGAACAAGCCTAAGCGAGAAGGCAGCAACAAAGAAAGAGAGCACGGGCCAAACTCGCTGCAGCCAGAAGGCAAGCATCTGGCAGAGACTTTAAAACAGGAGCTGAACACCGCCATGTCCCAGGTCGTGGACACTGTGGTCAAAGTCTTCTCTGCCAAACCGTCTCGCCAGGTTCCTCAGGTCTTCCCGCCTCTCCAGATCCCCCAGGCCAGATTCGCAGTCAATGGGGAAAACCACAATTTCCACACGGCCAACCAGCGCCTGCAATGCTTTGGTGATGTCATCATTCCGAACCCCCTGGACACCTTTGGCAACGTGCAGATGCCTACTTCCACAGACCAGACCGAAGCCCTTCCCCTGGTGGTCCGCAAAAACTCATCCGAGCCATCTGCCTCCGGCCCAGCCACCGGCGGCCACCACCAGGCCCTGCACCAGTCGCCCCTTTCGGCCACCACGGGCTTCGCCGCCCCCAGCTTCCGCCACCCCTTTCCCCTGCCCTTGATGGCCTACCCATTTCAGAGTCCGCTAGGTGCTCCCTCCGGCTCCTTCTCGGGGAAAGACCGAGCCTCTCCCGAGTCCTTAGACTTGACTAGGGACACAACGAGTCTGAGGACCAAGATGTCCTCCCACCACCTCAGCCACCACCCCTGTTCACCAGCACACCCGCCCAGCACCGCAGAAGGACTCTCTTTGTCACTCATAAAGTCCGAGTGTGGCGATCTTCAAGATATGTCCGACATCTCACCTTATTCTGGAAGCGCAATATCCTTTTCCCCTCAAGAACAAATGTGAACAGGAGCCCAAAGGAGAGCACCATAAAGCTTAGGTTCCCACACTGTAGTGGGTGCTGTGTGTCAGTATGGGGTTTTGTTTTTGTTTTGTTTTTAGTATTCCAGGAGGCTTGGTTTTGTTTGGGTTTGGGGACTTTGAGGCTTCACTCTGTAGCCCAGGCTGGCCTAGATCTATCCTGCTGAGATGACAGGCAAGTTCCTCAGGGCACAGCCAGGGCCTCCTTAAGAATGTGGTCTTTCCTATTGCTCACTTAATAGGCTTGTGGCGGCCCTGTGCTGGGTGTTTGTGATTGCAGAGAAACTTCAAAACCAACATCTCTGCAACTTTGACTAGTACTTAATTGCCTCTAGGAACTATTTCCAAGGTGATTTCCCACCCGTGCTTTTTTTTTTTTTTCCTGCCGTTCTTCCTGTGTGACATTCTTATCTCCTTTGAGAGCAGATGTGGGGCAGGGGTAGCGAGGGAGACATCGTGCAAATACTGAATCTTATAAAGATGGTAAGTTTCATGACAGAAGTAAGGAGGAAAGCCAGTTCTCAGGCCTGTGATTCCATTAAGAATTCTCGCTGTCAATGGCCTTTGAGGCCGCTGTGGGCCGCAAAGGCGAGTCATGAAGACCCCTTTCATCAGAAGGAGGCTGCTCAGGCTGTGGAGAGCCGTGGGTGTGGGGAGGGCCTGCATTCCGTCTTCAACCTTAAGAGAGGCTTTTTAAGGCAATGGGCAGGTACTGATTTATTCCGACGGCGAGAGCCTCTCTCCATCACCAAGGCCTGTTCTGTGGGTCTGGGGCAGCTGTCTGTACGCATGAGTGACCTCTGTTCTGCCAAACACAGAAATCTTTTGTCCTAACATACACAAAGCAAATTATTTTGGAAAAGGAGAGAACACAGTTAAATCCAAAACTCAGCTGTATAAAAATGGCCCCTTTAATGACTGTCTTCCATCTGAACCTGACTTAGGTAGAGATGTCAATTATATTTTTAGCAGATCTGTTTTGTACTCCAGCAATTTTTAATCCCTAACTTTTTTTCTTCGACAAATCAATCCCTTCAGTAATTTAAAAGAAAAATCTTGTGGTTGTTTGTCTTTTGGGGGTGGAGAATAGTAGCATTTGGGGACAGGTGGAAGCATGCCTCTTGTATAATAAATTACCAGATGGATATAAAATTTAGCAATTAAGTTGGCAGTTGCTAAATTGAGGATTTTGAGCAATCGTCTTGATGACTGGAAATTGACATTTTAGTAGCTAAGCCCACTCCAGGCTTACGGAAGTTCCAAGTCCCCAGAGTGGTTGAAATATGCGATCTCAGTCCTCCTGGGCAGTCACTGGCAAAGCCAACTGAAGCCACCGGCAAGAGACCGCTTGGGCTACTGAGCCCAGCTTCTCCTCCCACCCCAAAGAGGACATCTTAGGCAACAACAGAGACGCTGAGGTCTTAGATCCGAGTCTGAGCTTGTTTGCTCATTCAGCTTCAGGTTTCAAAAACCCTAAAATTCAGTGTGCCAAGAGCTAAGGCCCACAGGTGTGTTCTGAATCACCAGGCGGCCATTGGACCGCCACAGAGCTGCTGGGCAGGAGGAAGGGAAAGGAAGGAGGCAGGACCTCTTGAGTGGTTGTCAGCCTCCCCGAGAGATCTATCATGCTAGGCTGACTGATATCTAAGGTTCTGCTTCTTGCACCTCAGAGAACTGCATCTTAAAGCAAGTAGCAAATAGCAGTCTCCCTGTCTGTCTGTCTGTCTGTCTCTGGCCCTCCCTCTCTTTCTTTCTCTCTCTCTCTCTTTCACACACACACACACACACACACACACACACACAAAGTAACATGTGCTCATCTTGGTGAGCAGGTAAACTAGGTTTTGAAATCCTGAAAGTACAGAGAAAAGTCTCCTCGCTGAGAATGCCAGCCTTCTAAGTTTTGGACTTCATAACATGATCAGACAATTTTGATTACACCCCCTTTGTTGTTAACATGGCTTTGTAGGGAGTGTGCTACCTTTGGTTTGCCATCAGTGACCCTTAAGCTTACTGTGCCACCCTCTCTATCTAACCCGCTGAGGAATTTTGAAGATTTAGAGGAAAAGAAGTGCCTTCGCATACACCTATGATTGTAAAGAAAATGTGGGCACATCTTCGGAGAGTGGCTTTTCTGTCTCCTGCTGCTCTGAGCCCCTTCTGAGCAGTGTGGCAGGAGACATGCAGGTCACCTGAGGTAAGGTTGTTTACATCTGGGCTTGCTTCCTTCCTTCAGGCCCCATGGCCTCAGGCCTCCTACTGAATTTAGCCATTTTGTCTCACACATTTTGACCTTCTAACCTCTGACTTTCTGCTCTCTTCTCCTCCTCATACCTGGGACTGGCCGGGGCTCTGGGAAAGGACAGGCAAATCACAACAGGCAACCTGTTCCCACTTTGCACCTGCTCCCCTCGTGGCTGTGCCCACGACTCACCTCACTCAGATTCCCGCTGTTCTGAAGAACCATTCTGTCTGCTTAGTCTTAGACTAAAACATACAAACAAACAAAAAAACAAACCAAACAACAACAAACCTCTCAAGCTTTGCTTGGTAAAATATTGAGGGATCATAGCAAGTAGTATTTTATTTCAGTTTCTGTAGGACGCTGCCTTAGGGGGGAATGTCAGTATGACGGAGAACAAGTGCTGGATGGCCCACGGGCCCACCATGAGTGTCATAGTCTTTACATTGTCATGAATAACTTGCATGTTTTAAAACCTTAGTATGCCGGAGACTGAACCCAGGGGCTTGTACATACTAAGGGAACAACTTGCCCCTGGATAATCACTTCAGGACAGCACCATTTCCCCCTAGATGAACCCTCTTTCTTACTCCCCAGGGCCTTCCTGCTCCTCAGTGAAGTAGCCATGATTGAGAGCAGTGCTGAATCCCTGCTTCTCCGGGGCCTCCAGGCTCTGTTGAACACATTCGTCATACATGTTTACGATACTAGGCTCACGGCCTTGCGGTCCCTCTAGAAGGAAGGAAGTCACTCGTGTCCATATTGAATGGGACTTCAGTGCACCTGGTCAAAGAGCTCATGTCTTGGGTATAAAGCAATGTGTTCAGTATCTTTGCAAATGAATCTGTTTAATCAAATATTAAGTTTTATTCAAATTCCCCAAGATTCAGCCAGCCAATTGTCTTTCTTCGTGATGTTCCTTGTCACTCATCTTCTTTGCATCTCAAGAGAATGGCCTTGTGTAGGCCTTTCCCATTTGCATCACGCAGTACAAGCCCAAGGTTGTCAGATGAACCATTAAGAGCTGCACGGCTGGAGGTCCTTAGCCTGTTCTGTGGACCTGACGTTTTCGAAGAAAATATCTCATGGATATTTGGGGTTGAGAAGGAAAAACCGTTTCATGGCATAAAGTCCAACCATAAAACAGCAGTTGAGAATGGATGATTGGCTTTTTGTTATTGTTCTCTCTGGTTTGTTGAGGCAAGATCTCCTTATGTAGCCTAGGCTGGCCTTGAGGTCACAGCAATCCTCCTGCCTCAGCAACCCTCATGTTGGGATTACAGGTATGAAGTGTGATCTCTGACACTTTTAGAAGCCTTGAAGGGCCTCAGAATTTAACACATAGATGAGATTCCCAAATGGCTGCAGGCATCTCCAGGGAAAAAAAAGTCATTAAAACAAACAAATAAACAAACAAAACCCTACACAGCTTTCTGATGCTGTCAGGTCCTTGAGAGAGGGACAGCCTGCTCTAAATGAGAGCCTAGCGCTTTTCCACACATTGAATTTTCTTGGGAAGCTTCAGACCAAATCAGGGAAGGGGAATTCTTTCTGTTTCAGCTTAGAAAATGGGAGACGCCTCTTCCCAGTGTGGAACCACGGCTTGAAACACAGAGTTCAACAAGGAAAAACAAATTTCTTTTTTCTTCCTGTAGCCTTCAGGGCCTATTCTTCTTGCATTTGCCTTTTTGCTGCCTGAGCTCTTCCTCCTGCGGCTGCCACTTAGGTAAGGTTATATTGTGCTTGGTAAACAAACGGCATCGAGACTGTCAGGCTGTTTGGACTCTGGTTCAGCTGAACCCCTCTCCTTCCCTGATCCTTTATGTGCTGAGCAGATGTCTTTCATTAATTTATGGATTTATCATCTTTTCTCTCTCTCTCTCTTTACACCTGGCAGCCATCTCAAGTTTCTGCAGTTATTGTCTATTTTGCATTACACATAGAATTGAATGTCATCTGTCTTCACAAAGCTGAGGCGGGCCTCGTGAGCGCCGGGACAGCTCCCGTTTGCACCCCTCCCCTCCCCCACCCCTTCACCTCCTTCTTGTTTATTTGTGCTCATTTTCTTTCCTGGCCTTGAATGGAGCTCAGCCCGAGTTCGGTACAGCTGTGTGTTTACTGACTATTCCGTCGTGAGTCATTGTGCGTGTGCAAGTATCCAGGAAACAGCTAGTGCCTTCTTGGAAGAACAGTTGCTCTCAGCACAAGCACTTAAAAGGGGAATTAACCAATTGGTCAGTTCAGATTGATTTTGAGGAGGAAAAAAAAAAAGGATTATCTAGCTGCTGGCTTTTAAATGTTTCATTAGCTATTTTTAATAGTTTATTAGAAACATATATTTTATGAGAATTTTGTATAGATTACACAAGGGTCGCCAGGGACAGAGACTGTGTTCTCTTTGGACATGATTCCAGGTATTACCAACCGGAAACATCTTGAAGCAAAAACCTGAGCAATCTGAATCAGAAAAAAAAAAAAAAAAAATGACATTAAATAAAAGCCTCTAATTTCTGATCAAAAGAGCATAGATTTTCTTTTCTTTTTTTTTAATACAAAGAGCTGAACTCTCTTAACAAAATTTAGATGCATGGAAAGCCCCAGGGTATTTGGACAACCTTTGTGCCTCTCTGAGACACGCAGGAAAACAGTTCGTCTTTTGTAGGAAACCAAATCTTCAAGGTCTAGAGCTTAGAAGCGTGTACAGGGCTCTCGGGGAGAAAAGACTGGAACCCAGATTGGAGATACTCATTCAAGTTTGGGCTCGCTTAAAACTCTTATCGCGAGGCTGGGAGACAGCTTGCCACTGTGATTTCACTTATCCATTTGGACAGATGGTCCTGAAGTGTGCCCGGCTCCTTTAGCCGCCTCGATCGGTCTAATGGAGGTTACTGGAGGGCCTTTCAGCTTTTCCTTGGCACAACAAGTATGTCAGCCATAAATTATCGTCTTTGTAATCATTAAGGACCTTAAACAAAAACACAAGTTCAGTTAAGCTGCTTTGGCTTGCACATAGAAAAATCAAAATTTCTTTCTTCAGTGTTTACTCTCAGCTACACAAACACACACA